ATCCCAAAACTCGTTTTCAAGGTGTTTTCGTTTTCGGTCAGTACATTGTATGAGAGCCATTAGCACCACCATCGGTATCAGCGCAATGGCGCAATGCCGCGCTGCGTTACCCAGCACTATTGTGGTTATCATAAGTTTGTTTAATAAGACATTTAATAAAAAACCAGTTGTTGATCAAAAAATTAAAAATTAACTTCTTAGTAAAGAGTTATTATATTTACATACACACGAAACTCTACAAGATCAAGCATACAAGGTATTGCTGGAGTGACAGCCCTTGGCCAGATATATACATACATAAATCTGGATCGTTCCGGTTATGTACACCCGACTGTCGTGGAAATGGTACCCCTCAGTCGTTAAGAATAGGGGTGTTAGTTTATNAAATGTGTTCCCACTTACAGGTTTTATGTCAATAGGAACGACTTCCTGTAAGTTCTGACTAAATCCTGTAAACCGGACTGCTATTGGAACAGACTAAAAAATTTTAGTAACTGTTTTAAATTCTATTTTGTATTGACTGGGTAATCTAACGACTAGTTTACAAATCTTGATAAAAACCCCAGGGCTCGAATAGTAACATCCGTGAACGTACTCATTTTGTTTCGAGAACCTGTATAAAAGTCAAAAGTTACTCAATAACTGTCTAGAAACAATAAAAACTTTAAATTTCCGACATCTGAAGCCGGGAAATCAGTTTTGGGAAAAAGTCGAACAGCTTAGTATCATTTCAAGCGGCAAGGAAGAATTATATTGCCAAGTTTAATTTTCTGCAGTTACGGAATCTTACGATTTTATAACACGATGACACGAAAGCAGATGATATAGACCTGGCTGCAAGTATACCTCGCCTACCCATTACTTTGTGAGACAAATTTAAGTTACAGTTTTATCACAAAAATAAAATTTGGAATCCTTTAGAAGCAATTAAATTATACATATGTACTTCCATTTTGAACCCGAAGTCCAGCATATCGCACACGATCTTCATAAGTGGCACAACTCAAACTTTGGCATTTTTGAAATTATGCACTAAAAATGTACACAGACCTTTTATTTACCTTTCAGCTAAAGCTGGAGCAAATTGTTGTTATAATTTGTTGAAAAGACCTAAGGTAAAGTCTTCGTTGTCCATGTGATTAGCATGTGCTAAGAAATAGTCTCGCATTTTCTGACGAACGTGTTGTTTTGGTTGTTGTAGCAGCATACAAAGGATTTTTGTGGAGTGTTGCTGGAGTGCCAGTCCTTGGCCAGATATAAATCTGGGTCGTACCGGTTACGTAGACCCGACTGTCGAGGGAACGTGTCATTTTGAGTTGTGTCACTTTTCAAGGCCGCGTGCGATATTTGTACATAATCTATAGCTGATCGCAGATATTAAACACCAGTACAAGTATGTATTATACTAACCGGTACAATAAAACTTAAAAAAAAAATATTTGGAATTAATGAAACAGCCTTTAGTATTTAAAATGTTTCAGGGTTTTACGCATTACAATTGTTTTAACTAAGTACCGCAAACTAACAACTTTCTAACCTTTTCCAACAACAAAACTATGCATAAATATGTTCATACAGCATCTGTATGTGCATATGTATGTACGTATGGACGTGTAATTCGTTTCTGAACATTTCAACTAATCATAAATAAAAATTACTGAATTGTGTGTGTATATATATTATTAAATATATTTTACTTATTAGTCCTTAATGTATAGATACACTATTCGATAACGACGCGTATTATAAAACGTACGGTCATCAATAACAAGAAAAAAATGCTTAGAGCTGATATAACAACTATAAGGGTTACACAATGTTTCCAATTCTTGTAATTAAGATACAAATATTTATTGTTGTGTAAATATTGCAAACTTAAATAATGAAACTATACTCTGGTTTATTCTTAATGGGCATACATATGTATGTACATACAAACATCTTTACTATTTTTGTTTTAAGAATATAGTATAATAAAAGAATTTTTAAGATGAAAGAAAGTTGTGCGCTTGAGTAAAAGTTTTAACAGTATATTTACCAGGGACCGTAAATAACAGTTACTTTTTTTCAACAGCTAAACTTGGCCAGATATTTTTAAGTCGAAAATAGAAGTCCTTTCCTAATAATAAACAAATCGCTTATCCAAATTAGACAAGTTTGGTATCAACTGAAGGAGGACCAAAATAGCTTTAAAAGTGAAATATTTAAACGAGGAAAGCCAGCAGAAAGCCAGCTATTGAAATATATAAATGAAATTGTCTTTTAATTATCATGGAACAAACCTTGGATCAGGTATATGTATTTCTTTTGTATCGTTAATTCTATTCAAAAGCTATTTAAGCTATTTATTGGTACCAAATTTGTTTAATTTGGATAAGCGGTTCGTTTACTATCCGGAAAGACTTTTATTTCGAACTTAAAAAATATCTGCCCAAGTTTAACTGTTCGAAAAAGATAACTGCTATTTACGGTCCCTGACATTTACGTTTATGGGCATACATATGTATGTATGTACGTATGCATGTATATCATACCATACAACTATATTGAGAAGTAAAGATAAAAGTTTTTTCTACTAATAACTTAGTTTATGCTATCGCTGCTAAAAAAAGCACATATGGACGGAACAGTTTCAGTGCATATAATACATCGTATATCTATAATTTTTGAAGTCAAGTAATTTTTTATGTCATAATAAATTTATCAGTTCGCCGATGCACCAAAGGAATTCTTTAATGAAGTCTCTGTTTACAAAAAAAAAAAATTAATGTGCATTTTCATCGTGATTATTTCAGTTTCGGTGACTTCGTGAGCCTATTAATAAAAGCCTCAGTGGATTTTATTTCTTAATAATTAGAATAATAACATTCAGTTTTCCTGGCTCGATTGTATATGAAAATGTGCAATTTTTTGTTATCATTTGCTAATAAAAGCCAAACTAAATATATATGTATGTATGTATACAATGCAAAGAAAAATAACGATAAGTTTTTGCATCGATCGATGCCCTTATGGTAGTTAAGAATGACCAACAATGTCCGAGGCTTTGATATGTCTATATTATTGAAAATCTTGCACTAATTTCCAAATTTATAAAAAAAATCCATCCATCAGAATAGAGCGCAATAAGACAGTATATCTTTGTAAGTATTGTTTTGCACTGCTATAACGTTGTTAAAGAAAAACTTGCCATTTTATTTCCATATGGAAGACCAAATACTACAGCTATCAACTATTTTTTTTTTCAACCATTGGATATACTTTGAATAATTTTTTTTTTATAATTATGTACATATAACGTTTTTGATTGGTTTGAAACTATTTTTTATGTATATGTAGTTTAAACACCTAAGCATTTTTTATACGCAGTCTTTTCGCATGTGTGCATTGATCAATTATAACTCAATGGTTTTTTTTTTGCCCTAGAGTCCTCAATATTTGACAGCAAGAAAACATTTACCTTAAATTATATTTGTTAAACGGTTCTCACACCTCTGTACTGTGCGTTTGTATTCGAACCTTTTTTACACTATTACTGCGATGCATAGGCGGTGAACTACCCGATCCTGAGAAGCCCGGATTTTGGATACCCAACGCAGGATCTCGAGGAGGACGCGGTTTCTTCAAGCTGGAACGGAGTGGTGAACGTGTTACTGATTCCATTGTCGAGCCGTTTGAAACGCTGGTCATAGTAGTAGACATGGATGCCACACTACCTCCATTACGTATACTGCTATAAGGCTTTCCAGATGCATCAGTGACAGAAACTCCTAAAATATAAATAAACATGCAAGTTATTTTAGCTTGCCAGATACAGTGTACGTTAAGCAGAGTCACCCAATCCGATTTCTAAGCTAGAGACAATAGCTAGGGGAGAAATTTGTCTACATGACTTTAGTAAACTTGTGAATCACTTTTCGCATTATTGAAGTACCACAACCCCTGCTAGAAATAGTCCTTTCATCAATTAGATAATAAAATTTGAATCTTTTCAGTTCCTATTGTGTTTAACATCAGAATGGTCTGAAAATTCTTAGTGTATAGAATGTGTCCGCAAATAAATTAGTGAGAGCGCTTCAGGCCGCTGATTCCATATTATCGATTTAGATGATGATCATATCACAGACGCGGACGTCGCAAATTTGTGTGCTGTTAAGTCATCATTAACTTTGGCTGTTTGGTTTTTACTGTAAAAGTGTTAGGGCTGTTAGCTTATCTATTAACGATTTAACTATAGTTTAAAATAGATACGTTTACGGCCCTTAATATGCTGAATTTGTTAAAAGGCCCGTCAAGTCGATTGACCGTGTATGTTCTTGTGGTGTATGTACCAGCTGCTGGTGCGACTTCAAAAACTAAGTATTTGAAATATTTATGATTGTACCAGCATGCTGGTGTCGTGAGTGGTGAAATTGGTTAAATTTTCTAAGTAAAAAGTATTTTGGCGGAAATTTCTTTCACTATATGAGTCAAAGCCGTGTTTGTGGAAAGATTAAGTTCACGATTAAGATTAAGTTCAGTTGTGAATNCTTGTGGTGTATGTACCAGCTGCTGGTGCGACTTCAAAAACTAAGTATTTGAAATATTTATGATTGTACCAGCATGCTGGTGTCGTGAGTGGTGAAATTAGCTCAATTTTCTAAGTAAAAAGTATTTTGGCGGAAATTTCTTTCACTATATGAGTCAAAGCCGTGTTTGTGGAAAGATTAAGTTCACGATTAAGATTAAGTTTAGTTGTGAATGAAAAAACAAAAACAATGTTTAACAAAATGGTAGAAAAATTATGAAATTTCGGCTCTATTCATTTCGATCTTTCCTCGACCTCATTTGTAAAGAAATAAATATTTTACCAGCATGCTAGTAAGTTAAACAAAAAAATCTCTCTCAGCTCTCTTGNACCTCATTTGTAAAGAAATAAATATTTTACCAGCATGCTAGTAAGTTAAAAAAAAAAAATCTCTCAGCTCTCTTGACCGGAAAATCTGCGATGACGTCATATTCATGTTACTCTCCCGAATTTCACATCAATCTTGAATTCTATCGGTCTTGGGTACAATCACTTGATGGAGCCAGCAAGCTGGTGTATGTTTCCCCTTTTATACAAAAAGGTTTTTGGTTGGATAAAATATTAGCTTTTTCCAGAGTTCATTGTTTTTCTATACCACTATTTATTGAAAATGTTTGCGTGTATACTTATATATGTATATGTAAGTAAAAAATTTTAGCTACCATTTTTAGCCACAACGACTTTTTTAGCTCTTTTTTAGCCCCTTTTTTAGAGGAATTTGGTTACCACTAAAAATGATTCGCGGCAACACTGCTGCGTATAGCTCTCGCTGTCAGACGCACAACAGACGAATTCTCCTACCAACCTCTTTTCTGTTTGACATAATCTTCGGTACTGTCGATTATCCAATACTATTAGGTAAAAATAATTTCAGCGTTCCTTGCAGAATGTTACGACAATTTGATGGTATTTTATGTTGTCATCAGTAAGACTGTATATATATTTTATGCCCCGGTTAATAGAACTCTCGTTGAATTGAATAAGCTCTTTGCTTCTTGAGACCTTGACCTCTCAGCCACTAAACCTTGGTTTTAATTCCCACGTACAATCATTATTGAGTAAAAATCGTGCCCTTTAACACCTGCTATTATGTATTGTAATAATATTACTTTTAACTTTACCTATGCTGCTTAGTCTGTAAGAATTGCAAATTCATAGACAAAGCGAAAAAAATAAATAAATATCAATCTGCAGTTGTAAAAATTTGTCTATCTCTTTGTACCCATGGTGGAATAATACAAGGTGTTGGATATTGACAGCGTTCTCGCTCTAATCCGCCATCTTGGCTCCCTTAGCATATCGGTGTTTCCCTCTTGAAAAAACTACATTTTATCGCCTTTAAAAAAGTACTAAACTACCTCATTCCCTATTCCAAAACTGATTTGCAATCACTGAACAATTCTTTGACATTTACTCTATTCTTATCGTTGGCAACTGAAAATTAAATTAGAAATTTCAACATTAATTCGGCAAAAAAACATCGGTTTAGAGTAGAGAGATTTGTAGTTATTTTGGTCGGTGCTTCCTTCCGCTGCAATTCCGTCTGTGGTTCACTGCCACTGGCCTTGCTTTTTCAACGATATAACTGTTTTCTTGGTAAGTTTAGATGGAAGATTTAAACAAGAACTACGTATTTAACTATGCATCTATTCCCCAGTGATTTTTGCTGCTGCAATCCCGTCTGTGGTTCACTGCCACTGGCCCTGCTTTTCCAACGATATAACTGTTTTTTTGGTAACTTCTACCGCTAAGACTTTGTTGCTTTTTCCCTTTTCCCTAAAAACATAATAGTGCTACAAAGCTCAATAACAATATGGAAACAAATGTTAATAAGCCACAATAATATTGACAATAAATAAGATTTCACTACGATTGAATTTTCTATTAGTAACAGGGTAGTTATAGTGAATGTTTTATTCGATAACTAAAACTATATTTGATGTTTGTAGCGATAAAAATATGCCTAAATCAGCCAAATACCCTATGTGGGTCGGCTGAATCAGTAAAACGTGACAGTAGTTGACTTTTGAGGTTAATATATCGGTCTTGAGTTGGTAAGGTTTTTAAAACATCCGCAGCTTCCTTTAAAGCATCGCTGCTAATTGCTGAGAGGACCAGATTATATTTACCGACATAAGATGTGGTCTTGTACGACTGAAAGGTGGCCTCAATTTGTAGAAACCATTTGTCTGGCATCTCAGTTCAGAACGGTCGCAGCTTGCATTGCGATGCAAGCTCCACATCTTTAGTTGGCATTTTGTTCGATGAAATATTCTCCCCATCCGTCGATGCGCCCTTTTGTCGATTCCGTCATGTAACGACTCGGGGTCACCACTAATTTTTTGGTTTTGGAAGTTTGACTATAATTATAGGACATTGTGTTTAATAAACTAAATTACCATTTATTGCATAAGTACTACGTTTATATACTACTTTCGCGAATTTAGCTTATCATAATATACCGTTTGTAACATTAATGAAATTTATATGAAAAATAGTACCAAATTTCGAACTACTTCGCAAAGCGGGCTTTTTTTCTTCCCGTTTCTCTCGTGCTTCCATATTACAACCTTTTGTAAGGGAGCTGTCGACATGAGCTGTCACTACGTACAACACCTTGTATAATTCCACCATGTTTGTACCTATTTTTTCACAAATTTTATTTTCACTTCGGCAAAATGACGATTAGCAGTTTTCAAACCAGGAATTGCGTCACCCTGATTTGGGTCGAAAGTGTTTCATTTCTGAAATCATGAAAATAAATTTCTTCCCTTGTCATTGTCTCTAGCTTCAAAATCGACTTTGATGTACCTGCTTAATGTACATACATACATATATTCAAATTTAATTCCAAAAAGTCTACCATTTCTTGAGCGTGGTTCTTTGTAGCCAGGATTGTTATATGTCGTTGCGCTGGCCGGTGATGTTGCGTCCACAATCATAGTGGGGTCTCCGCCTGCGACGTGAAAAAAGAACATCGTAGAGTGCAACAAGAAAAAGTCCAATCGTTAAAACTATAACCACAATCTGAAAAATACGTTTTGTTTTTTTTATTTCAGCAGAGATGTAATTGCCTTTTTACAAATGAAAGTTAATTTAAAATTAAAACTCAGTGCAGTATGTATAAAGGCCTTAAAACTTGAGCTCGCTCAGTTATAGAAAGTACGAGAATCGGAAATGTTTTAATGAATTGTTGCAAACACACTTTAAGTTTGATACTTTTGACCCAGATTTTAAGTTCTTTGGGCGGGTTGTTAAATAATGATTTGTTAAATCCTCGTGGCCTTGTGAGACTGCCAAAAATTTTTTTTTTATACATACTCATTTACTTTAATAGTGTCATAACTCAAAAAAGCAACACTCGAAGTAAGCGGCTTCAAGGTTTTGAATTTGCCTACATACGTATACTCCCATAGTAAAAATGTATACGTATTTTGTTCTAGGGAGATACAGGGTGTGTTCGAGCTAGGTAATAATTACCTCAATATTGCAGCCTTGTTGCTTTCTTGTTGCTCAACACTGAAATTTTTCTGCAGTACTACAGAAATTGCGCAGTAAAAATGTTTATGTTGCTTTTGATTTTCCAGTGATGAGCAACTGATTCGTCAAAATTTCGTTCCTCGAACGCTTGATGTTGGCAGAACCACACTGCCGCATTAATTGCAGCTCGAATACACCCGCAATGGAATTGAGGTAGCGGTAATTTCTGCATACTTAACTCAATTTTTGTATTTTTTGAATTATGAAACTATTGAAGGAAATGGGCGATATGTACTACATACATATATACAATATTTATATGTAAATACAAAAAAAAAATTAGCTGCCGTACATTTTTTAAATGTTTGCCTTACACCTGCTTCGAATTGTAGAGGCCACATCTACACGCACGGCGTACTTACCTGCAAATAAAATGATATACCACGAGATATTCTAAATCCATATTTTTCCGACTCATCGATTTGCAGGGCGAACATTATTGTTGCAATTGTCGCCAACAAACCTGTAAACAAAATTTCTGAAATACATATTCTCTAAAAGAAGGGTTATCCACTTACATGAAATCAGCGCCAAGATCATCTTAAATATCACCAATGTTGTGTATCGCATTACAACTTTTTCTCGAGAAGATATCATCGCTATTTGTATTATTGATAAAATGCAGAAGATTCCTAAAGTCGCCGAGCTCATTATGGCTAATAACCCACTTACATTGGCGGCAGCTGAAGAGAAACAGAATAGAGTGTGATTTTGCATTCCTTCTCCAATAGGACTTATACTGCAAATACTCACTGGAAAGTCGAAATTTCGAAACATCGTTGCCACATTTTTCTCGATTATATGTTAACTGCTTGCAAACCTTAAAAGGGCCAAAATAACCCCGATCGAAGTCATAGCCACCTGTAAAGCGTTAATATATGATTAATATGTTACAAAGCTATCAAAAAAAACTGTTAATAATTACCTGTCGGACTGTCATAATAACCCCAAATAGGTATTCCCACTGCTGCCGAGGCTAATGCAAAGCACAAAAATCCCAAACAAGTTACTCCAGCAGCGTAAAGGACATTTCGTGATTTGGCCATCTTTTAGGCATCTGCATAGTTCTATATATACACACAGTCATAGGTAGTATGTATGTGATTTTTTGTGATATTTTTTCAAGCTTGCAGCGACCTTCAAAATTAAACGCAATCCTTTGAAAATCAACGAAACGTTGCGAATATCAAGAGAGAGTCAAAAAGATGAGTGATAGATAGATAAGTCATGTAAAAATAATATTCAAAATAATATTCTACAACTTCGATGGTTGGTGTGTGCTAGCCATCGAACTCGAGACCTAAACAATAACAGTAGCTCGCGAAAAAATAAATGGTGACGAAAGCCTAATCTCCGAAGTGTAAAGTGTAAAGTGTAAAAAACCTTGTGTGTAGCTTATTCGGTAAGACTTAGAGTTTTCAAAAATTATTATAACCAGTACCGAATTTGGGGCAAACATGCAAATACTATTTACTTTTAACATTACATGCTCTAGGCAACTACTATTCAATAGGACTCATCTTTCTGTAGTGTTATGTGTGTACGCATGTATACATAGATATCTGCATATGTTTCCCAAGCCGTGAGCAATGTTGTCGTTTTCGCCAAAGATTTTAGGGCTAACCGAATGAATTTCACGGTCTTCAACTAAGTCTGTAGTTGAAAGGTGTTTAAGAGCCAATAATACAACAATGCCTTAACTCAAAATATTATAGAAACTCATTGAAAATCACAACCGGAAGGAAATTTTTATTTACGCTCTTAACGGTTGTTTTTTTTTTTAACCTGGTTATTGGTATTTCATTAATATACCTTTGTTATGGCTTACCCTATTTTTGTGTTAGGTATTTACCATGGCAACATTCTTACAGACACATATATAGAAACATTTCGAATAGCTTACAAAAGACGGCACTACCAAGCATACATATGTACACATGTACATGCATAGATATATAGAGCATAATATGTACAAATATATAGTAGTATCGTTACCTTAATATAGAAAGGCCCTATCTAAAATTGTTGGTTCTTTACAGGGTAGATAAAACTATGAAATATAAAGATTCGGTTTATAACATAGAAACTACCTTTTTGATTAGTAATGATATAATTTCTAGGTACATTCTGTTCAAAAGAAAATTAGTTCCACCTTTCTATATTAAGAGTAACGATGTCTAGATATGTACTGATTTTTGTACAATAACCTTTAAATCCTAAAAAATAAAACTCTCTATATACATAACAACCACTCCCTGAGCTAAAGTATTTTTCCAAGACAAATTCTAAAAAAAAAAAATTTGCCCGAACCTAGCGATCGCCTTTTTAACCCACTTCCAAAAAAGGAGGAGGTTATCAGTTCGTCGGAATATTTTTTTTTTTATGTATGTTACCGCATAACTTTGGACCACGTCAACAGATTTCGATAATTCGGAAAGGTAGTGTCTCAGAGGTGGTCCCATACTAATCTGGTTAAGATCCGATCAGTGGATATGAGATATATATATATAAATTTTTTTTTATATGAGAGTTGAAGTCGGTTTTTTTTGCTAAAAATTAATTGTTACATTACGGTAATACCTGCATTCGGAAAAATTTTGTTTATTCTAAATAGTTCACTGGAATAAACACAATACTACATTAGGAGAAGTTGAATGATTTTTGGTGAGCTTTAATTACTGGCAGTAGGGTGTTACGACGTTACGGTGTTAAGAACTGAGATGTGATTGAGAAGGCACTAGATCGGGGTACTTTGAGATAAATGAGACTAGAACATCGATTTTTCATACTTTAAGATCCAACTGTATATGCCGAATACATAACGAAACAAATTTAAAAAGGCCATAAAATTTTTTTTCAAATTGCCTTGCAAAAATACTTTATACTCAGGGGTGTAGGCGAACTTTTTTTGTTTGCTTGTCAGGTGGCACGGTATAATGTACATGCATACATATGTACATGTCACACATGATATTCACAAGTGACACAACTTGAAAATACACGTTCGTCAGAAAATGCGAAAAATTATTTCTTATGACATGGTAATCATAAGGGCAAGGAAGACTTTACCCTAGGGTTTTTTCAACAAATTATAACAAAATTTTGCTCCAGCTTTTGCTGAAAGTAAAATAAAAGCTCTGTGTACATTTTAAGTGCATAATTTCAAAAATGACAAATTTTGAGTTGTGCCACTTTTGAGGATCGTGCTCGATATTTACATATATACCTAGCTGAAAGAGAGCGGCTGCATACAGTTGCAAACTGAATCAATAATGAAATGATCCCATACATACATACATACATATTTATTAGGGTGATTGACTCGGTTTTTCCAAACCAGATTCCTCGGTTTTCTTTTTTTTTTTAAATCTAGATTTAGAGACCTAAATTCAAAGCCATTTACATCTTCAAAAATACAAGGTATATTAGCCGTTTAGAACAGCTTTGTAAACATTTCCTATGCCAGTTTAAAAATTTTTGATTCCCCTGTAAAATTTCGATTTTGTCGAATAGGGCCTTTTCATTGATAGTGACGATATGTATGTATGTCAAATGTACTTATGGATTTTTACTTGACTACATGCTTACATACATCCATATGTAAATGGTTTTAGGTTAAGTGTTCTCATATAGTTATGTATACATACTACGTACATTCGTACCTGTGTATGTATGTATATAGTATGTACATATGCTGCAATCACAACATTTAGGTATATTCTGGCTGTTTATAAGGTTCTAATGTCATATACATAGGTATGTATGTTTTTTGTAGTTGCGAAAAGTAATTTCCTGCCCGCAAAATCGTTGCGACAACTTAAGAATACTTCGTATTTTTTTTGGTAATTAAATTTATTTAAATCTGGACACTGATTAATCGCGTTAAAACTCCAAAAAGTGACCCTTTGACATGAGCAGCAAATCTAACCCAACCATCTCTGAATAACTAAGAACGCAGATTTACAATTCTATCTAGCCAAAACTTCAACTTCAGGTCGACAAGCGCGTTCATCATCCTACTGCAATAAAACTTGATTAACAACTATTTAGACCAAAAGGAAAATTCGATTTGCCTATTGATGTTCGCAAAATAAATAAATTCCCCCAATGTTCTCGGACACCCTAATACTGTAGGTACTGTGACAGTGTACCTGTGGGAATTTCTTAATTGCTTTATGTCACGATATTCATACATGGCNAAAGTCTTAGTGAAAAATGGCGTCAAAAGAATATAATTATGGTACTGCTACATTATGATGCGTATGACTTCGTTGTAGAGTAGTATCTATGTATGTACATTAGAATACATAAAAAATAAAAAATAAATCCTGAAATGCGACCGCAGTCTAGCTCAGATTTTAGTATTTGGTATAATATTGATCCTCCACGAATCTCCCCTCTCTACGATAAACCTAAGAGATCGGGTATCGAGTGCTTATTTTTTCCATAGGAATATTACGTAAGAAAATGAGTTATTCTCTTCTGAGGTCAATATCATTTCCTAGGATTAATCAAAACGCTCGAAACTATAAGAATACATACATTGGTAATCCTTAAAAAAAAATTGGGAATTTAAGGAATCTGAGTCAGGATTCTATGGCTGATTGTATTTCTACCATGAAACAGCTTACCACAAAAAACTATCTGACATTTGGAGGCGTTGTAAAGATCTAGCGCCAGATACATACATATGTACATAGATACATACGTATATAGTATATTTATTTTTGTATGAAAGTATGTACTTTCCTCGGTTTTGCACATCACTGACGTCATCAATATCCATAAATAACCATACCAACTCGATATTGTTTTCTTACAAAGGTAGTGTGCGGTTGGTTTCAAATATATATGTATGTACATATGTATGTAAGTATGCGGGCATGTACTTTGTAGGTATCAGCAAGGCGTGTTGCATTTTTAACCTTTGATATGTCCAGAAATATGGTGACAAGGCCTAGTTTTTGTTAGAGGCCTTTTTGGGGAGCATATGGGTTTGTGCATAAATGTGTGTGAGCATACGTGCATACATCAATATGTAGTATGTGTAGAAAACACTTTTAAGGAATCACAAGTTCCTGAAAAAGGACAATACAATACAAGGTTGAAGTGAAACATAAAACCATTTTTGGCGTTAACCACTATGAACACACAAGTTAGCATTTTGTAATATTTTCAATAATATTTGAGTACCCAAGCTAAATTTACATATCTATTATATATAGATATGGGCGTTACATTACGCTTGAATGAAAAAAAAAGTTAAAAAAAAAATGAAAGCTAAAATTTAAAAAAGGTTTTTCTGGATTTGAACAGCACTTAAATGGCCCCTTATTCAGCAAAAAAAAATAAAACTTTTGTGGTAGCGATTTAACGATATTAGTATCTGAACATATACGCTGGCGTGACATTACAAAAAATAGAAGTGGATTTGGACTTGGGTTAAAAAATTGGAAAATTCTGCGAATTGGGCAAGACTATTTCTATAAAAGTTTTTGTAGTAATATTTAAAAAGTTTTAAGGTTAATTTTCCAAGTTTTTAAATATAAAAATCTTTTCTGCTTTTTGTTTAATCAGCTGAAGTAACTGGGGTCACGTTACATTACTAAAATTAACATTGAAAAGATTTCATGTCATGATAACCATGTCACAAAATATATTCCGAATGGAGACCGCCTATTTCTCATGGGCTGCACTATATGTATGTCAGCGCTTATTGTTTGCCAATCTATTGCAGGCAATTCTATAGTTTGACAGCCATATTTCCAATTGAAAGTAAGCGTGCTGGTGATCACATCGATAAAATTGCAATATTAAATCAAAATAAAAATATGTTCCCTATCGGATTATTTATGATTAGTGTTTTAGGAAACAATTCAGCAAGTTTTTAAAAGATTTAAATGTTTTTAAACATCGAAATTGAGAGAATGTTGTCTGGTGGCGTCATGCCCACACACAAAAACTTGCAATCAAATTGCTCGTCAAAATGACAGTTGGTAGGCCATCGGTGCTTGCCTGTGGAGTTCTGCGGTAACGCGACCATTTTTGGCCGAAATGTTTCTGCTTACATAACCAGTATACATAGTATATTATGAAAAGCAGCCAAATCGGCCTATAAATAAGTTAGATATAGGACTTTTAGTTTTTTCGCGGTAGACTTTTCGCTGGAAACGCCCATATGTATATGTATGTATGTATAAATAATTTTTGGAACGCAAATGGTAAGTTTGCAGAACTCTATTCCTAACTTCGTCAATGACTATCCATGTTGGTTGGATTGTGCTTTTAAGCCATACTAAACAAAAAAAGAAAATAGCGTGTCAGTAGGCAAACATCAAAAACGTCGTGTGATAACCATCAAATAGTATATACATATGTACATAATATGTATACATATGTAGATAGTATGTGTTACATAAGTATGTACATACGTAATGAGTCTTTGACATAATTAAACTAACAAATTCCTACAAGGTGTATGTACATGCGTACACATGCAAATATAATGAAAAACCACGGTGACCTACATATATTTCTGAACAGCTATTCAGTACGTACTAATAACAACTCACAAACATTTGTTTAGGATGCTTAATAAAACCAATTTAACAGAGGAAATAAATACATACATACGTACAAAGAAAATAAATTGAAAAGGAAAGTCGATTTTTCCAAATTAATTTGCCAACTATAAGTGTAAATATTAATATTAAAGCGTTTAGTTTCACAAATCACAACGCAATATTCAAATAAGTGTACATACATGAATACATAATACTGTAGCAAAGATACCTAAATACATATTTACGCATTTGCATTTATGTATGGTTCATATTATAGATAGAAAACAAGCATTCGGACGTACATATGTACGTATGTATATACATATGTATCTACATATATGAAACCATAAAAATTTCAATTGCATATGTTAAGCATTCGATCTTTTCCGACTAGGCCTGTTTAACTTATGGTATACGTTCACGCATTTTCGTCAATAAACATATGAGCTTTTCCATTTCAATTAAACCAAATTAATTTTTTTAACTGGATTTTTTTCGCTATAAAACATATGTATTTTATCTAACATATTAGACTTCTGAGGAGAACCTAAAGATGACGGTATATGTAACGTGACCTGACATTAAAAAAAAAAATCAATTATTTTCCCATTGACCAGGCCGGAATTGCTAAATTAACCTTTGATAGCAAATTATTTTGATAACAAATTATTAAATCTATAAATGTACATACATTTAGCACAATGGGAAGGGAACAATACAATAACTTATGAATCGCCTTTTCTTGAAAGGATCACTTAAAAAAGTGGTTGTTTCTTTAAGTTACATAAGTTACATCCTGGATGCCTTTGCAAAACCGCCTATCTTCCGGCACTCAATTTTTACAGAAGAGTGAAAAAATGTCTTTTCTTTGAAGGCCTTGACTTGATAGGCGATATTTTCTCCAGCTATTATTTTATTAATCTGTTTTTTTTAATAACGATCTTAGGATTTTTATGTATAAATCTCGATGACTGGAGTTTAGGGTTACCAAATATCATTTTTGCCACAATGGCATTTTAGGCGGTTTTGTAACTGCTGGATGGGTGGTTTTGCAAAGGCATCGACGATATCAAATAAGAAGTCGTCTATTGCCGCCTTATCCGCAAAGCGAAAAAACTCGGGTACTTTTATACTTTTCAAGAGGCAAATCAGTAAACTTACGTAGACATGTATACACAGAGACATAAGCATATAAACATAGTATGCTTGTAAATAAAATGCAAGTTATTGTGTGTAAATACATATTTATATATAGTTTCGTATGCATACATAATACATAAGCACGTATCATAGCATGCCAGTAAGAAATATGAATTTGAATACACATGTACTTACATATACATACATATGTATGTATAAGTATTTACATACATAGTAAGTAAAGGTAAATGCGGAATTGGGACGGAAAATATACGAGAATAAAGCTTAAGTGAGCGGCTCAGTGTGCGGAGATGGCTACATAAATATGTATGTATGTATGTAAGTATAAGCTGGCTCTAACTTTTAGCCGTCTCGCTTACCAATCCAGTCCCTTCTCTTTATGCACTCTTTCTTCGTTTTGTTATTCCCCTTTGCTAACCTGTTGATTGTTTCAATTATTCCACCCGTATTCGATGAAATTGTTCATTACAAAAAAGATAAATTATTAAATTATTATTTCGGAGCTCATCTCAGAAGTATCTCAGAAATATCTCAGTGCTTAAACTGTGAAAATTCGCTAAAGATAATTTGCGAAGAATAATAATGTGGCTATCTAAATATGTATGTATGTACATAACTCAATTGTAATTAAATGACCGTAGGCATTAATGATATGCCTTTGCAAATGTACATAGGTATGTTCAAATGTATACGTGCACGTATGTACGTAGGTGAATGGTGTGAAATTATACCTATCTCTCATTAAAATTTTTATACGGGAATACGCCCCTATATGGTGTGTTTGCATTCAAACTCATTCCGTTTGATTTGACGTTTGGAACAAAAGCTTGACTCTAAGGGCTATTTTCTCATGTAACCTGTAACTTTAAAGCTCACTTTATATTTAAAGGTTGTATTAAAATTTATGATTGTGTCTAAAGTAAAGCATTTTATTATCATTTTTAAATTGATTTTTATCCAAGAAACATACATACGTCAAAAACCGATAAGAGAAATGCTTAACTTTATACATAGCTTTATTTTCAATCCAACCTTTAAATATAAAGTGAGCTTTAAGGTTAAAAGTTACTTCAGAAAACGGCCCTAAATATTATAAACTCAGAGAACGGAAATAGAAACTAGAAGCCGCGATCGCAGTTAAATTAACTGTTCTCTTGCTCTTTTGCATTTCGAAAGTACGTAAACACTACACGCCTACATATGTATGTACATATGTACAATGTATGATTATTCGTATATGCATGTGCATGTATGTATGTATGTACATTTTCACTAGGTATTTATGTACAGCTGTATATCAGGTGGGTCCTTATGTATTTGATGTACATATGTATATATGCATGTATATATGTAATTAGTATATGTAAGTGTGTACATTGTGTATGTGTTTTGTTTGCCGCCTTTGTATGTGTGGTTACGCAAAATCTGAACTAGACTTGAACGAGTACCGTCATGAGACTCGAGAAGGCGATCAAGCCCACGTCTAATCTTCATACTCTACGTTGTACACATCTAGCGCTTGAATTTGCATTTAGCTACGTGTGCAGGTAAATTCTGAGATTGCAATTTCCCTGCAATGCAAATACAATTGTATACTTGTTATACATTATGAATGTAGGCTCCAATGGCTTCCAGCGTCGAAGTAGACTGAGAGTAACCCTACAAGACAGCTGAGTATCATATGAGTACTCATATTATCATTACTCCTAATCACAAAAGTGCTTATCAAAGTNTCAATATGAATGTAGGCTCCAATGGCTTCCAGCGTCGAAGTAGACTGAGAGTAACTTACTCAACCATTTATTAACTCACCAGATCACTTAATCATTACAGTAGGTACGATGGCGTTTCGCAGCTCTAATTTATGCAATTTGATCATACTTTTTCTGTCAGTGACTTCGGTTGATACGTTAGCGAACTTATTTTCAAAATGTGTATATGATAAGATATTTTTATTCGCTACTGCATTTAACATATTTAACACGATCAATAAGAATTTTTTTCGAACAAGATAGGCTATTTATCCGAGAAAGCCGGTTTTTAGTCAACGCCACCGTTTGTTCTGCTTGCAAACGTTTGTGAAGAAACAAATAAAAAAAAAGCGTTGTAAAAATATATTAAACGATAGATATGTCGAGATATTTTTCCATTCACAACTCCAGTTCCTGAAGGCGTACTTTATATGATTTGGAAACTTATTTCGAAGAACATTTATGTATTTCGTGCATTCGCGTTTATGCTATTGGCATAATTCTCAACTATCACATCAAATATATGTAAATATTTTATTTTTTATTTTTTTTTTCGTCAAGGTATACATATAAACGTATGTATGCACGCCATCCGCAAAAAATCAACGCACTAAGCCAGCAATCAATAAGCAACTGAGTAAGGCTAAATTTTCTAAAACTTTGTTCGTTGCTATTTGCAGCTTGTTTACGGAAAGGGGAAACGAAACGAGAATAGTACACGCAACTAATTCAAGTTTATTATTCAAGTTTACAGCTAAAGCTAATGTGTAGTTCACCACGTGGGGAATTCCAAGTGAAAGCTTTTTCGTCTTTCACATGGCTGTGAGATTCCAGTAAAGTTTACTAAGCAGATACGTAATGAAAAATGTTTGTATATATGTATGTACATTAGGACGGGCCAATTTTTTTTTTTTAATATGCGCGTATGGGTCTAAAATTAATTTGGAGTTTGTCAAATTGCGAAAATAGGTTTCGAAGAAAATGGGAAAAGTTTCATTGTTGTGCCCTCTGGTGGAAGTTTTAAGAAAAAGATAAGTGCCGAAATGTCTTCTTCATAGCAAAAAAAACCCCTTATACCATGTGTTTATACAAAATTTGAGCACTTCTTTACGACACTGCAGCAAAATGCAATTTGGCAAACTCCAAATTGATTTTAGTCTTATGGTTTCTTCGGCAAATTTGCTTAGAATCTTACGTAGAATCCTTTTGTGCTATAGGCGCATGGTCGAAAAAATCTCCTATACAAAGTGACCTGCCCTAATGTACATACAGTGGCACTCACGTAAATAGCACATTTTTGTTTATTCATGATGTTTTATGTGATAAATTTTGTTCGTTAATTTTTTTATGAAAATATATAAGATTCTTTAGCTTTAAAATGACGTTAAGATGAAGTCTCTACGATGAGCAGAACCCGAGATATAACTATTTGAAGAAGTACATGATTAGTCAGAATCACGAAAAAATTAAAACTTTGACAGATCATATCTCTAAAGGAAAAAAAGAAAAAAAAATCCTGGAACACGTGTTAGCTTATTTCATGTATAGACCCCACAAAAAAAATTTGGAGCGAATCGGAGACTTGACATAATCCGTCGGACTTAAAAAAGAATGGCTCCTATGCTAAACAATCATTTATGCGTTGTAAATTATTACCGCTTCCAATAACAATTGCTGGAGTTGAACAATATATTATGGAATTTTGATTAAAAATACAAATTCAACCTTATTATGGGTTTCGCTTTCCTCGAACTGTTTCACTTATCACTCTTTGTTTAGATAGATTGATTGATAGATAAGATAAGATAAGACAAGGACCCCTATCTAAAGTGATAAAGGGGTAAATTGCTTTAATTTATCAGTTTAGCCGCATTTTTACATGAACGCACTTTGGTAAATAATTGCATAAAACTGTTTATTATTTAACTTATATGGCTAGTTACGTTTAATTCTTACCTCGTACATTTTATTCATTTGCTTTTTATTTGTTCGTAGCAAAAGTGTTCACCTGGCAACCTGCCAGAGTAGAATTTTGCTGAAATGTATGCCTTTATCCAGCAAAATCGTTTGATAAAGTGATAAACTTTGGTTAAATAGATTTCCATGCAAAGTTTGACAGTTCATTTGTCAAAATGATAAATTTATCATTTTGTCAAGTTTATCAGCAGTTTATCACTTTTCATGAACACCCCTATAGCAAATTCTATACCATAAACCATGTACATATGTCGAAGTTTCAAAATTTGTGCACAATTCAGAAAAACTTAACAAATTCCAAAAAAAATTAAAAATGTTATCAAAATGTTCACCTTTTTGTTAAGAATTTTCAGAAAATTACTGGGTGTGGAGTTTTTTAGTAATTTTCAATTCAATTTTAGTAAAATAATAAGTAGGATTATGAAAAATCCCGTTGATTTTGGAAATTTCTCTTGTGTCGAGGGTGTTGTGCATTTTCTTCCATATAACGCATGAACAAAATCTATTTTTATATGGAATTTCCTCCTTATAGTTACACTTCCTACATCTTTTGTACTTCTATAAGACTTCATTTAAACTCATGTGCTGCTAGCTGACAATGCTCTGTTAGGAATCCTATCAGAAGTTTCGAGTCCATTCTTTTAGTGGCTGCAGCGCTACTTGCTACTAAGTTCACAAGATATCGGACCGTAATATTTTTTGGCAGACTTCCTTTGACCTTAATAACATTTTAGGCTATATTTTTTCTCAGTCTTAACATTTTCATGTGGCGAACTCCACAATTTTTTGCCACTTTTCCTACGGTCTCGCGTTTCCGCAGTAAATGTATTATTTACATTTATATTTCCTGATTAACCATATTATTTACTGGTAATTACTTCTTGAATAAATTACAATACAGAAAAAAGTTATCTGACTTCCAACTAATGAAAAGATAACTGTAAAATGCAAAACTGAGAGTGAGTGCAAAACTGTGACATTTGCCTTAATTTACATTTTTGCCTGCTGGTTTTATTATTGTTGTTGGATTGACTTCAAATCTATGTGAGAAAACGAGTAGGGGTGTACCAATGAGAATATACAACAAAAGTATGAGAGTCGTTAGAACTTGGAAAGATAGCGGTGGCTGAATTGAAAATTGTTACACCATGTTACAGTTTTGCTCGTCACTGTAAATGCATATGTATGTATATGCATATATTGTGTCTTTCAAGCGATCCCTATGGTGCTGCCATTTTAATTTAAGACTGCTTTTAAGAGCGAAATACACCACACAAGCGGTTTGACAAACCAAGCGAAATTTCCCTTTGCTTCAAGCCATTTGTGCTGTGTATGGGGGTGTTTGAAGGTTTGATCAAACCTTCAAACACCCCCATACACAGCACAAATGGCTTGAAGCAAAGGGAAATTTCGCTTGGTTTGTCAAACCGCTTGTGTGGTGTATTTCGCTCT